TTTTTCACTGGCTGCCTGGCTTGCTAAAACTCAAGTTTTTAGTCTGAGTTACTTGGACTACGGAGAAGATTGGACTTGGATTCAGACAGCACGGTCTAAGCTTGTCCTTAGTTAATATTGTGAAATGCAAAATCCTTACCCAATGTTGTGAGATACCAAATCCTTACCCAAATAAGATTAAATTGTGATTTGAACAGTTATGATGGGTCTCTGGAGCTGGTTTCCAAGAGTTCAGTTCATAGGAATTCAGGAGTCATTGAGTTGCCAAGGAGAAAGTTCATTCTTTTTTGTACCTAACAACCATACTTTGGTATGAAAGATGTGACAGAAATTATGTCTAGTCTTGATCATTTTCATTTGTAAAAGTGTGATTCTGTTTATGTGGGATATTATGTGGAAGAATCATTCATTTCACAGAAAAGATAGTTGAAAAGTTAATGAAAAGTAGTCTTCTGAAACCTACAGATATTCTTATTAAATTCCTGGGAAACCTTTGAAATGTAAAGGTTTTGAATTTATTATATTTCTTGAGTGAAGGTGGCTAGTGAGTGAATAATGAAGAAATGACCCAGACGTGATCTGAACATACAAATCACTGAGTCAGTTACGTTTGAGTGAAACAGAGTTTGAAATTCTTTTGGCAAACTGGAAACTTTCTCAATGATTTGTGTCATCAGGTAGAAGGCACTGTAGTGTTCAGATGGTTGAAGCAAAGCTGAAGCTATTATGTTCATCGTGTTTGGGGTACAGTTCAACCTCGTTCACAACTGCCATAGGGCTGGGATGGAGGGTGGAGGGGATGAGATGTTTATGATGCTTCTGAAAAGACTTGTAAGGATGAAATCTTGGATGTTTGCAAGATGTCCTGACTCAGCCTTGTGCCCATCAGTATTCTCAGTTCATGAGCTCTGGCAATTCAGATAATCACAGGAACTAGAAGGCAGAGTAGGGACCATTTGCATTTGGTCCAAAATCTGTACAGAAATTATTGTTCATTGATTATTTCTTTCAGTCTCGCAAGTTGTGTTTGATGCAGATGAAGTAGAGGGAATTGGCTGACATAAAGAAAGCTTAGAAACATTTCATATTTTCTCTCTTCTACTCCTCCCTTATGATCCCATTGTTGCTGTAGGGGTGCTGAGCTTTTCCAGGCTACAATTGTCAAGGCTGTGAAGGCAAGAATTGAGGAGGAAAAAAAATCAATGGATCAACTGAAGAGACAGTATGTAATTTCTATATGTATATATGTTTGTATGCTTGTATGTATGTATGTGAAGACCTCAAACTAATATGATTATTTTTTTGTTAGAATGGATCGTATCAAAGCCAGGCAGCAAAAATACAGAAAGGGTAAAGAGAGAATGCTGAGCATGAACCAGGAGTCATCAGAGGGGCAAGACATTCAGAAGGTTTCTGAGGAGGATGATGAAGGTACCGTTAACTGGTGTCATGCCATAAATGTGCTGGAATTTACAATTCAGCTCTAAGGATCTAGATAGTCTAATAGCAAATGAGAAACTGCTCCTCAAAACTGGCATCACATGGCAACGGTATTAGCTGAATATCAGTTTAGAGCTTGAGTCAGCCAAAATATGGAATTTATACTGCAAGAAGTTTTCAGAAAAGTGGTTTTGCTTTGAAGTTACTTTTGGATGACTCTAGGTTATGGGTGAAGGTCAAGAGCAGTAAAAGTTTGTTTTGAATAGTATTTATTCATAAACCACAGTGTTACAAATAGGTAACATATGAATTTTCCAGCAACACTTTTGAATGTGGTGAGATTTTTTCTTTGGTCATTGAAATATTTGTGCATGTTTTTTAATGTCGTTTGAAACGTGGAAATGGATAAAATAATACCTATCTTGTGCCATATTTCCAGCATTGGCTATGTGGAGAACAAAACTTATGGGATTTAAATTTCCGGAGACTAAAACATAGGATTTTCAGCGATAGTAGATAGGATGGGGGGGAATGCATTTCTGTATCTGTCATGTGGGAAATGGATACGATGACCAGTGTGTTCCTGTCCAGTATGATATTCCTTATCTTCTAGAGAAAAAACAAGTAATTTATTTTGGAATTTTTAATTTCCATTTGCCATTAATTACAGTTATTTTCAAATCTTGTTTAGAGTGTGTATTTTAAAATGTTGAATGAAACATAATTCCATAAATTACTTTTTTTTTTCCTTTTCCTTATTCTAATGAAAAAAAAATCCACAAAAAATATTTAGCTTGTAATACATAGATGGATAACATTGTTTCTTGTAACACTCAGAATTTATCTGTTTTGAAAGTATTTTTTTTCTTGAAATTACAGTCACGTATGACTGTGTGTTTTAAAACACAAAACTGAACTTTTTCCTTGTTTTAGATTAGAATCCTGTTCAAACTGCTGGATTAGAGCGTTTGTGCTTTATGGTCATACTTTTGAATGATTTTTATATTGAATGTATTCAGTAGATCTAACATCTGATGTGTTTTTTTTTGAAAGAAATGAAAAATGATTAAGCAGTATAAGAAATATGTTTCTCATTTTGTAAAATTAATATTTGGACATATTTTATTTTAGGAGAAGCAGACAAAGAGAAAGCCAAGGGCAAAAAAAAGCTGTGGTGGCGGCCTTGGGTTGATCATGCTTCCAGTAGGTTTTCTCAATCATCTTACAAATATGTGGATTTAACCCTTATATCCTTGACCAGAATGAAGGCATTCCCATGACCTGTTTGTTTTATGCCTGATTTTATGATTGTGACTTGATAGAGGGCTTGTTCGCTTCAGCAACTGATTTCAGTTTTCAAATCTTCAAATTTGTTTTTACCGTATTTTGAATTTGTGAGTCCTGGAAGCTCATGGTGCTTTGGACAAACTTAGAAAGATAGCAAATCAGATTTTTTAAAAAAGGACCAGAAAGAATTTATCTTGGCCTCAGAAGTTTCAGCTTCCCTATACTGCTAAGTACAATAACTGTACTTAAAAATGTAAAGGTTTGCCAATACATTCTAACATTAGTCATAATTTCTTTTTCATGTACAGACATCATACCTCTTTTTTTACAGTTCATCAGTCATTCTACAGTCAGCTGTGGAAATCTGAATACCACAGTAAGGCAGCAGGACTATTCCCAGGACTAGGCTGTGCAGTGCTCAGCTAAATATCTCTAATCACATCGTAACATGCTGTTGATATTAGATATTTTGCTACTTCCATTTTCTTTGTGTGTTTATATAAATGCAAATGTATGGTCAGCCTTGTACAAAATAAATTATTAGTGTGAATTACTCATCTCAAAATTGCATTATGGTATTTTAATTAATTTGTAGCCCAGTTTGGGTATAGAAAACAGTTCATCCCTACTTTAAGGATTGGGTAAAACCAAAAACTGAGCAGAATGCATCCTAATCTCAAAGTTGTGGGCTGTGTGTTTCATCTTTGATCAAGAAAATAAACTATGAACTATTTAAGAGCTATGGAAAATTATATAAATACTCAAGTGTGTAACACTGACAAGAGCAGAATATAAGTGTATATATTTTGCCTGGTCCTAGTAAAAAGAGTTACTCTCAGTGGTACTTATGCACATCTACCTACTCTTTATCTATGAGTATCTATTTGCAAATGACATATTTGCCAACAGTATTAAACAGAATCTCATACGCTTTTTCTATCAAGTCACAAGTAAACTGTGCCTCTATTTTTCTTTTTCTAAATGACATATTGCCACTTTTGAGAGACCTATCCTTTTTCATAAGCCTTATGAAAACAAGCTTCTTGTCATGTAGTTTCATTAAGAAAACAATGACAAAATAGATCAAAACTATAATCTGTGAGCTTTCACTGTAGAATTTCAGGCTACGGTGACTTTGAAGGAATGGGATATGGTCTCTTGTTTATTCACCACTGGTTATGTAGTAAGAACTGTTCAAAGAGAGACATTGACTTTGGCTCTGACTCATTTCACCCTCATTATGTAATGCTCTTAGGAGGCAACTCACATTTGGATATTTAAGCAGGGAGCATTCTTGGCATTATTTATTGAAATAATGCAAAACCTTGTGGGAAACATCATAGACTGATCAGCAAGCAGTAACTGGCTGCCATGTGGCTTACTTCCACATTCACTGAAACATGGCAGTTTCAGTAGGTGTTCACAGGCTCATAAACTGGAAATGGAGTGATATTCCCCATCAAGGTCTATGCTTTTGAAACACTCTGCTATAACTCTGTAGTATTCTGCCATACTTGGCTGTTCCTTCTTTTGTAAAAGATTTTGTGAACTGTGGTTGTAAATTTGCTCTCAAAGAGCCAGGTTGCTGAAGCTCTGAGTTTTATGCCAGTTCTGTTTTTTTTTTTTTTAATTTACCTTATTATTGTCATGTTTTGTTTTTACCACTAGTTTTAAGCTATTCTACAGCCAGATACCTCATTTTGTATATTATAAGAAGTAAAACATAGTCATAATTTGGGGACTGATTAGAAGTGATAGGAAAGATGCATGAGGGTTTCCTCCTTGAGTCTCCTTGCAGGGAGATACAAGCCCTCCTGGGCTTGCGGATTAGATATGAAATGCCACAAAGATCAGCAGGAGTTAGGGCCACCTGCACAGATGTCCTCATCTTCTCCTGGGACACAAGAGTTTTGTCTAATGGAGTGATAAAGCCTGAACTCACAGCAGTTCTGGGGAGCTGGACATGAGTTGATGATAATATTAAACGTCTTCTGCCTCCTCCCTCCTATACCACAGCCTTTTCTCAGAAGGAGGAAGTCTCTTTTTGTAGTAAGAAAGGGGAATTCCAAGTCCAGTCTGGCCATTAATTCTTTTCCTAGTAGAATCTGTTCTCTGCAATAATCCCTGTAAGTTACTAACACACTTCTTATTCCATATTGATGAGTATAAGAGTGCATTACTGCTGTTCAATCATACCTCCCTCTTTAGGTGAAATGCTGTTGTAAAAGAAGTGTAATTGCTACATTAGGGTTTTCCCTTGGATATACTTTAACCTAAACTATTTGGAGGGAGATCATTTTCTATGTGTTTTCTTCTGACTCAGGCTCCAAGTCTGACAGAAGGCTGCTCTGAGACTTTAAAGAACTGCACTACAGTATGTGATTCCCCTAGACGTCAGACATCATCCTGCTGGTCTTTTGTGCAGACAATTTCCATGGATTACGATTACACTTCTTTTTTTTTTTTTTTTGAAAGAGAGTTGTAGACTATTGGCTCTTAAAATACAAATAGCTCATTAATGTGTTTTAAAGGGACAGAAAGGTGTATACCAAATAATTAACTAGTTTGATCTGAAAACCTTTTTCTTTTCTTTATTTTTAATACCTCTGTCAATTAAAAGTGTTGAAGTGGACTCTGTAGCAATTCTTCTGTAAGGATTTCATCGATGTTGAAAGTCATATTTCTGTGCACATGATATCCTCTGTGAGGGAGTTTTAGACACTGAAGTTATGATCTAATGGAGTTCTGGCAAATCTCACAATGGACTTGCTTGGGGGTTTCTACTCTGGTTATTTGTGGCCACCTAGGTACAAAGGGTCTCTGCATAGCTCAAGGTATGATTGAATAGAATGAAAGCTACTGTTAATTTGCTAGAAACCTATAATGAGGGTTAAATGTAATTTTTATATCAATGTGTATTGCTCCCTATATAAAGATTGTGTGACATTTCATCTAAGTAACCATTCCTTTATATTTCAGCTTCAGTGTGAAAAATTATTTACCAGTCTTTATTGCTGAATGTTATGCTGTGATTTTGATTTTCCTCTTGCTGATTATGTTATTTTTCATTTCTTTTGTTTCCCTTGTTCATTCATATAGGCCCGTTACCGTTTCAGAAATAAAAATGTTGGTTCTGTTCAAGGATATAAGGCCTAGCTTATTCACTGTGCATCTTTTCTGTATCAAGGTTTCAGATTCTTTCTGAATCCATGGGCAAAAAATTGAAACTCATTTATAATCATGTTAGTACCAAGCAATTTGTTGTAAACAAACCAAGGTTTTCCATTACCTCATCAAAGCTTAAAAGTTTGAAGAAAGCAATAAATAATACCATCTCATTGTGTAGTTTAAAGGATACTTTAGCATCTAATGAGCAGTTCTGTATTTTTTGTCCAGTGGTATTGTTTATGAAAATTCATTTAACTACCTGCTGGGCTTTTTTTTTTTTTTTTACTTGCTCAAATAACCATCAATTAACAATTCGTTTAGAACTAACTTCTTTTTTTTCTAAAATGTTTGACTTAGTGACTTGATATACTTCAAGCTTTTTCTTTACATTTTGCCATTCCATTTTCTTCTCATAGTGATGTTTTCCTAAGTATATTTTTGCATAATTCTCATTCATGCCCAGAGTATCACACAGACTAACATCAAATAAGTTGCCTGATACCTATTCATTTCTCTTCCTTCTCTGTTTTCTAATTATGAATTCTTGAATGTCTGGCTGACTATTCATAGGACTTGGGCAGTTCAGAATAGAACCTTTAAGAAAAATAAGAAAATATTTTGTTTCACTTAGTGGTCAGAAGTGGAGATTATTATTTGTTTGAGACGGATAGTGAAGAGGAGGAGGAAGAGGAGAAAAAAGAAGAGGAAGAGCCTCGTAAAAAATCTGCATTCCAGGTACTTTATAGTAATTTGCTGGGCAGCTATTTGAAATAAAATTCAGGTTTCTCACATGATCTCACAGATACAAATTGTCTTGTTTTTTGGAGCCCAGTCCTGAAACCATTCATCTGAGTGAAGGATCTGGTCTTTATTTCAGAGCTCTTGCCAGAGGTTCTGTATTGGTGGCCAGTTCTGAGAGTGCAAAAAAAAAGTTGTTGGATGACTTTATGTGGGAAAGGAGCTGATGAGAGCAGAAAATTACTTTTGTTTATAAAGAGTTCTTTCATCATGTGGTCATTATGCTTTATATACCTTCCATCACTGTGTATTCAGCCTTAATAAAAATACTAGGAAAGTGAAGCCATTTGTTGTAAAGCCTGCTAAGGAATTATTTCTAATTGCTCTTTTTCTTTTAATGTATATTGTCTGTAATAGTCACCTCAAGAGATCACTGGGATGTCCTTACTCGAATTACCAGTCTAAGGGTTTACATTTATTGAACTGGAGATACAGTATTCTTTAATGATAAGATTGTATTTATTAGGTAATGGAGGAAGAATCATCTCTTTGAAATGTTATTGCAGACATCATGCATGATCCTTTTTCATATTGCAGTCAATTAATGTAAATTCTTTCATGCAGCAGATAGATACTTTTTTATTAATATTTTCATGCTTTCTACTAATCTCTCTTGCTTTGTCCTTCTTTATAGAGAGCTATTGGGAAATTTGCTTCAGCCATTTTAGCCTTGCCAAAGTCTATCATTAAACTGCCCAAAACTATTCTTCAGTATTTAATCAGAGCAGCAAAGGTATTTGCCATTTTGCAAGTGCTCAGTATGTGACCCATCCCATAGATCCCAGTGTAATGCATACCTCTGTCCTTGTCTGCATTTTCCTCTTACATGAATGACATAAAAAATAATGACAAATGAAGCTTCCTTCTAGGTAAATATCATGCGCTTCATACTTTTGGAGTAGCAAAGACACAAAAAAAAAGTCATCGATCTTCTCTTAAGTGCAGCCCCAGAGTGAAAATGCAGACCCAAATTTTCTTCTGATATTTCTGTACAAGATGGTCACATCAAGTTGCATGTATCTTATGGACACTGTGGTAACTACTCTCAGAAAGCTGGTCATATATTTGAATAACCTAGTAAAACACAAATTCCCTTCCAAAATCCCCCTTTTTTTAGCCCTTCAGATATTCAGCCTTCATCATTGTTAGAAATATTCATGCATCTTTAACATTTTACTTTGTCTTACTCAAAAACATTTAGCATTACCCATTTTTCAGGTGAGTTTACAACTTTACACTCCATAAATGTGACATGCTATTCATCAGTATTATATCATGTACAGTATCATGTAACATGCTCTTCATCAGTATTACAGCCTGGGTGCACCAAATCCAAAGCTAAACAGATACTGAATGTTAAAATTTGTCCAGTGTTAAAAAACAAAACAATACATGTGTAAGTAGCCAGACAGCATTTAAATTATTCCCCAACTTAACACAGAGTTATACTAAATTTAATAGTCCAATGCCCTTTTTTCAATCTAACCTTCTAGCCTCTTCAACATCTACTTTTTATCTCTAATATCTTTATTCACACCGTGACTGTGGCTAGCACACAGCTTCTCAGCTAATTGGTCAGTGATAGGTGCTGACAGTATCTAACTTTTAGCAAGAAACATGGTATTAGTTCAGTTAACATTACTGTTCCCTGAGATCACCTGAATCAGCAAACATTTATGAAAAAGCAAAGAGAAAACAGTGCCTCTGATCCTACACATTTTTGTCATGTGGTGCTTGTTTTGGACAACAAACAGCTTGCCCTTAAGAGATTTGAAAGATCTAATCAATGGTGGCAAAATAACTGCCTCTCCGCTATCGCTTACTGCCACAGATCAGAACTGTTTTTCCCTTATAAAATTCCGTTTGACAGTTTGACAGTTAAAAAAAAATTGCTTTTACTATTACAAAGCAATTTTTGTATGCAAATTTAAAAAATAAAAACAGGGCAAATAAAAAATTACTGTTCTGTCCTGTAAGGGATAATGCCAGCTTTGCTGAGATATAGATGTGATTCTGCCATTGAGTGCATGTCTGTCTGGTGAATTAAGAGCTGTTTTATTAGAGTGCTATGTTTTTAACATTGTGCATGAATTTGTGTACTCTCCTCCCCAGTTTCTGTCAACAGCATGTTGGTTAGAAATAGAAAACAATGCCCGTTAAAAAATATTTTAATTTTTGAATGAAGACCATAAAAGGAACAAAAGCATACTCTTGGAGAAAAATCAGTTTCTGTTATTCACATTTTATATTGTATAAAAAAAAAAAAGATACAGAAGTATTATTGCTTTTCTCTGCAACCTTTCCTCACAGCTTGAGCAGAGCTATTCAACCAGTAACTTTGTGTTAGTAATACTTTTCACTGCTCTGTCATTTATAAATATTTTGGACCAGTTCCTTGTTTAATGTAGTCACACAACACACTGCCGATCTGAGTGAGTGCTATGAGCAGGATTTAGCCCCATTAAATTCCCTTGATACAGTAAGTATTACTGCCTTTGTTTTACAAATGGAAAAGAGTAGCAAACTGTTCATGAATGACTTTACTGAAGCAACAGAGGAAACTGTTGTCAAAATCAGTGTGAAATTTGAGGAGTTCTTGGCTGCCAGGTTTGGGGCTCTGCATAGACTAGCAAATCTCTAAATGTGCCACTGAGATCTGCAAGGGGGAGAAAAACTTACGCAAAGCATAAGAAATCTGCAAAAACAAATACCTGCACTGAAATATTATCACATCTTATGATGTTTTAGTTAGTTGATTACAACACTTTCTCTTAAAGTTTCCACTACTCTGCATCTGGCCTGTAAAATGATAAAGTAGAAATATAAACTAAATGTAGAGATTCAGGTGAAGTAGCATATATACACAACAGGGTATTAATTCCCAAAGTTCAGAGCATGAATTTTTGCGGGTTCTAATGAAACTTGGTTCACCCACAAGTGTTTTCACATTTGGTTTTATGCTAGCAAAAATAGCATATGAAAACTCAGATCTGCAGGGGAGGTGTTTGATTTGGAAATCAAAATATTTGCTTTCCCCTGCAGATCTGAATGTGTTTACTCAAGCTATATAGTCCTGTTTGTGGTTTATTTTATGACTTACTCTCAAAACATGAAGAACCTTGAATTAAATGAATTTGTTCCTTCCAGTTTGTCTATCAGGCCTGGATTACAGATCCTAAAACTGCACTGCGACAGAGGCGTAAAGAGAAGAAAAGGTTTGGGAAAGAGGACAAGAGAAAGCGAAAAGGATCTGGGGATGGTACGTACACTTACATATTTTTAAAAATGTACACGTGTTCAGTTGGTTGCCTGTTGTTCCTGGTAGCGAAGGCAGCTGAGCAACAGAGAGAAAATACTCTCAGCTTTACTCAGCAACTGGAAAAGAACTTTCTGCTGAAATGACCCTTTCCCATCTTTAGCAGTTATTTAATGCAGAAATGAGTTTACTTTTAGTTCTTGCTCCTTTCACCAGCCTGTGGCAAAGCCAGTCATAGCTGTGTGCTTTCATGCTACATAATATAGGAGAGAGAAAAGAGGCAAGAGAGATCCGCACTTCCATGTAGTTGCCAGATTTATGCCCAGAGCTTTTGACAAATTGTGTTTGATATGCTCAACATCTCCTTGAAGACATCAGCTATATGAAAACGTTCACCAAAGAGCAGTAATTGCAAGAGAAAGCCATAACCCTGCACAGCCAATAGCATGGTGCTCAATGGCATTTCCCTAGAATATGTAAGTGTAACCTCACGTGTTTGGTTTGAAACAGACAGAGCAAGGACCAAGGCCTTTCACTTCCTCACCTCATAAAAAACCAGTGTCTTACTCCCTGGGTTTTCTGGAGTTGCTGAAATTCTCTCATTTTGATGATGAATTCGTGCATATTCCCAGAGAAAGTTTTGAATTGGACAGACTTATATTTTCTGTCGAAAAATGGTTTCTCTGGGAAATTCCTGAGGAGCTGTATTTCAAATGGAGTTGTAATAAAAATTCTGTGAAATATCCACATAATATTTCTTTTTGCCACATTTCATGTATTGTTCCCCAAAAAGGTTTGAGTTGGCACATGGAGAATAGTGTCAAAGAATCACAGAAAGGTTGAGTTTGGAAGAGACCTTGGTAGGTTTTCCAGTCCAGCCCGCCCTGCTTAAACAGGGTCTACCTGGAGCACACTGTCCAGGATTGTGTCCAGACAGGTTTTGAATTTCTCCAGAGGAGGATATGGTACAACCTCCAGGCAACCTGCACCAGTCCTCACTGTTCACAGGTAAATTTTCCTTCATGTTCAGACAGAACTTCCTATGTTTCAGTTTGTGCCCATTGCTTCTCATCTGATCGCTGGGCACCACTGAAATGAGTCTGGTCCCGTCATCTTGACACCCTCCCTTCAGAAATCCACTTCACTGTCTCTACATCAAGAAGTATTTTTCAGCTTGCTCGCTGTGCTCCTCAGTGAGGTACCCAAATATTCAGAGGCAGCTAAATTCAACTAATGTTTTTTTACTGGTACTATAAAATCATTCAGACCTCTGAAAAATAGGTTATAAACTCTTGATTTTTTGTTACTTTTTAAAGAATGAAAAGAAAATAACAACTCAGAAGTTTTGTTGTCATTTAGTTGTCCTTCAGTTTTGCTTGTGATTCCACATTACTTCTGTTACAAGCCTAAATAAAAACATATGGTAGTTGCTCTGTTTCATCCTTGGATTCCCACTCAATACACTTAGGTCATATGAACTATAGGCAGGAGAAAATCAGAGCCTTGAACAGGCCACCTTTTGCAGAGGCTGAAGAAGTAAACTCTAGCGGGAAGAAAGCAAAGGTCTGAGGTACCGTATAACTCTGAGAAATTGCCTCAGCTTACACCAGCAGAAGATCTTGCTCAGCAAGGTATGTAATAAGAAAATGCCGCTGTAAATCACAAGAGAGGAGTGATCGTTCATGGACATCGCCTAACTTTGTTGATAGGGTTGCCCCATCACTTAAGTCCTTTAAAATGGAAACCTGCTTTCCAGTATGGTGGTAGGTGAGGAACCAAACACTTTTCTTAGTAACTGTGGTGTTTTTGAGCTAGGTTGGGATTGATGCCTGCATTTGCGTGTATGTAACTTGTACTGCTTCACTCGTTGTTTGCAATAGCTGCTGCCGATGCGGACTGTGAAGACAGTGAAGAGGAACCCGTAAAGAAGAAATCCGATGGACCAGGTATAGAGGCAGAACGAAAGTTACTCTGCCGTTATGGTGCAGTTGAGACTGGTGGAGCAAAGAGTACTGTTGCAAACACCTGCAGACTCAAATGCAATCACTTGATATAAATTTTAATTATCTAACAACATATACCTAAGCTTAGCTTCCAGTCCAGACACCATTCCTGCGTCTCTATTGATTTTGATGGTGTGAAATTTTAAAATCAGCACAAAGACTTTGCATTTTTTTCAGTGCCTTGTAGCAAACTTAAGATAATACTTTTGTCCAGTATTGGCCACTTCAACAAAGTGGCAAATAGCTCCTCTAAAAGTGACATTTTATAAAACTTACCCATTCTTACTCATAATCAGACTGGAAAATGTTCTAAACATTAGAAATTTCAGCACTTTGAAGAATCATGATCTATTTTCTAGCAAAACCAGCTGTCCTAAACAGAGGTGCAAGGGATCCTCACTTCCACAGTATATTTGGACCTTTCTTTCTCACCAGAGCGAAAGGAGAAAAACAGACTGTCTTCTTAAATGAGTCTTGGTCAGGCCATACCTTGAGTGAGAACTCATCTTAAAAAGCTGTTTTCCTGCTCTATTTAAAATCAGATCCCACAATATGAATTCCAGTTAGAACTGAGTGAGACATAGATGTGAAGAGATTATAAAGAAGGTGAGAGATAACATTACTTTCTCACAAGACCATTATTCTCAAATAAATCCATTGCTTCATTACTGGCCTTGTTTGTGGATTTTTGTGGACTTTTTTATACATTACTTTCTTGTGAGGTAGACACTCTGTTCAAACACTAAAATGAATCACTCAGACATGTCACTAAGGAAATAGGATCAGTGCTATACAGGATTTAAGGAAAGGAAAGGAAGATTATAATTAATTTAGGTTGAAACTAGTCACTTTAACATGCTTTTTGAATGCTCACACCTGAGTAAAACTCAATTAAAAAGATGGTTGGAAAATTTAGACAGTAATTGTCATGAAGCGCTAGTATCATTAGTAACCTCAGAATTAAATCCTGCCTCACACTCTCAGGTAGAGAAGCAGTTGTTCTTTCTCAGCATTTGACCCTTTAAAAATAACAGTCTCTTGCAAAAATAAATATTTGTTTCCCTTTTTGAAGAGGTTTAGATGTAAACAATGCCCGAAAGATTATTTTTTAAAAGTTTCAGAGAAAAGCAAAGCTATGAGAACAGCTAGAGCGTCATTAAAAAAGTATACTAAATCATCTCCAACCCAGAGAAAAAATGACCTTTCAGCTTAGATTGTAAGTGCTTAGCAAAGTGCTATGGTGAGGCCATGCCATACCAGTGCTGTTTGATGATAAGGGTTATTTTAACCTGAAAATTGCCAGAAAAAAGAAAGCTTCTAAAGTTAATAGTAAAGTTATGTAAAGTTAATATTACAGCACAAATAGTATGCCAGAAAGCAAGTGTGTGTGTGTGTGTGTGTGTGTGTGTGTGTGTGTTGAAAAAGGGACATTGATATGGTGTGCGTTTCTATGTATGAATGCTACATTTTCTTTAAACCTATTCGTAATATTGCGTCTGGAATTCAAAGTAAAGGAATGCTCCTAGGAGGAGAAAAGACTTTAACTTACAACGGCAAGACTTTCTTATCTTCAAGACCTGTACCTTAAAGTATATATGAATAAATTTTAAGTAGCTCTATCATAAAATCTCTCTCATTCAAAATGATCTACAAAAGGCCTGAAAAAAAATGCAGAGGATAGTTGCAATGGCGATATGGCCAAGTGTTGGGGACTGAATGCTATTATATTCAAGATACTGGACTGGTTCCATGCAATAGTTCAAGCAAAAGATACTATTACTTCAGCATCCACTTCCAAGATTGTACCAGCAGTGTTTTGTTCGTGTAGTTTCTCCCTACACATCTGTTCACGCATCTCCCTCAGCACACAGATAGATATATCCACGTTGCCCTTCGAAAATCGTTTGCTTTGTTGTCGCTTCGCTTTGGTGTCTGTGCAAGGAGCGAGCACGCGCTGCAGAGGCGTGGGTGACATCTTGTGGTGCTGCTACGAAGTGGGGTTGTAAAACCCTTAGCTGTGCTTTAGCACAGAGTCTGGCTCTTCAGGGGTAACTTCAGACATTTTGTCCCTGCATGGCAGATTCAGATTCTATTATCTTTTAGGCTGGTTACTCCAAAATTAGATCTTTACACTTAGTGCTCTGGAATATTAAACCTAACAAATGGCTGGCTTTCACTGGAAAGAAATTTTTTAGTTACATGGTAGTGTATAAGAGTTGTTGCTTTGGGGAGTGTAAGAAAAGTAGGATAGAAAAGGTACCTTTTGGGAGGAAACATGCAGGAGATAATGCTAAGATTATCTGCTGAGCCACTGAGCTGAGAAATTAGGTAGCGTTTCTGCACTGAGCAAAATACAACTATGGTTGTTGGTATAAACTCGTCGGAAAGTGCGCTGTTTTGGTAAATGCTGAAAGGGAGAGTTTTGTAAATGATTTATATGATTGCTGCTAGTTGATCTGAGGTGGCTGATGACAGAGTGCAGCCAACCGTTCATAAAGCTGAGGTTTTGTAAATGGCAAATACAAGAGGTATGTTTAGGTGTCTGGAAAGCCATGTGCAAGTCAAAGGCCCATTTAGGCAACTTAGATCTTCAAGCTCAGCTAAGTGATGTTCAAGAACAAACAGCAAACTCCATGTGCAGCGAAGACCGCACAAGGGACAAGACAAGTAGAGGCCAGCTCTGAACGCGCTGGGCAGCTGCTGAGAGCCCTGTGGCTGTTGAGGAGCGCTTAGAAGGTGGCCAAATCTTTGCGTTTCATTTTGCAGACTTAGGCACACAATATCTCTCTGAAATGAAGACTGACTGACGATTGCAGGATCAGGGAGCTACAGAGTGGAAAAGGGATTCCAGATGATAAGTGTAGACATACAGGCAGGAAAATGGTACAGACAGCCAAAAGGCCTCCAGCCATCTCCAGATATTCCTTACCACGACAGGGGCTCGCAGCATGGTTTATTATTAGACAATAAGGGAAAAAAGAGACTAACTCCAAGTAGAAATACAATGAGAGACATTTACATCCATTAACTCTCTTGCTTTTCCTCTCCCCTAGATAACATCATCAAGAGGATATTTAATATTTTGAAGTTCACTTGGGTCCTTTTCCTGGCAACGCTAGACAGTTTTACAGCTTGGCTTAATTCCATCTCAAGAGAACACATTGATATCTCTACTGTGCTAAGGATCGAGCGTTGTATGCTGACCAGGGAAATTAAGAAGGTAACGCCTTTGGTCTTCTGCTAATGCCATTTCCAGAGCAGCAAAAAATGAAAAGATTGTCTTTTGAGATCGAGGCACTATGCTAAGGAAAAAGAAATATTAAAATATCACTTATATACCCATTTTAAAAGTAATTCTGGGCTCTTGTGCTGCTTGCTACTTTCTAAATAATTAAATATTAAATTACTTGATTAATTACTTGGAGCTAAAACAGATGATGGGAAAAATAATTCTTTGAGCAGTTGATAATAAGGATCTAACTGAAAGACTCCTGCAAGAAATTGCAGTTTTGATTCAAATAGAGGAGAAAGTATGGCATTTTAAGTACCTCAGAAATTACCCCTGTCCGAATATTTCAGCCTTCTTGAAGAGCAATTCGCTATGAAAATGGCTGAAGAGGTAGAGGCAGAATTTACTTCTACTCACACTGGAACTGTGTGGTCCCCCCAAACCAGGCATATATTAATAGAATCCCATAGCATCAAAATAATGTTGACAGTGTAAGTAGAAGTGTGTTTGGATCCTAAAAAGCATTGCATGTAGGTGATACCTTCAAGTTGGTATTTTTACTTTATATTTTTACCTTATTCAGGTATTTTTACATGCTACTTGATACCCAGATATTTTTGGAAACTTGGCACAGAATCCTCTTTTTTTTCTTCTTTTTTTTCCCTTTTTGTTAAATTTGTTAAAATTGGCAGACTCTTTCAGAGATAAATAGGTTGAAAAGGTAAATAGTTCACTAGTAACCTTTACCTTATGAAGTGCTATACTGTCAGGCCGCCTTGGTTGTCTGTTGGCACAGTAAGTAACCTGAGCCCAAGAGATTTTTTAAATAGTTTTTTAGTCTCCTTTAGAAAAGAATCTGTACCCTATATGGCCATGAGACACCAAGCCATGAAGATGGAGTCACTTCAATATTAATGTTTTGTTACTTTAGTTTTTTACCAGCCCCTGAGTGTCTGATAGAAGTAGATGCCTAAAGAAAAAAAAAAAGAGAGAGAGAGAACAAAAGAAACATGGCATACGCAGAGTAAATCCTTGTTTGGAATACCTCCCAGCTTGTGGCAAGGAATAGAATAGGGTACCCGAAACTGGACATTATAGCTGGATCATCATGGCCAATACTACCAAGGAATCTGTACACAGAATTTATCTAATCCCCTTTTTAATCCATTTTTAATGTTGGCTTACAGAAGATTTTGTGGCAATGAATTCTATAGTATAATTCCATATTATGTGGAATAGTACTTCCTCTTGTTTCTTTTAAATCTCCTTCCCAATCATTTTTGGTTCTCCTGTAGACCAGATTTGTAGATTTCTTTGCCTTCACTATTCTGATTATGTAATTCTGCATGGAGTTGTCTCCGTCTTTCTCTTCCAAGTTAAAAATTACTTTATTTAGCCTCTCTATACACAGAATCCATAAAAATTCCTGCTTCTGATCAGCTTTATTGTCCTTCTTCACATCATTTCCAGATTTAAGAAGGTCTTATTGAGACTGGGTGGCCAGGACTGCACACTATTTTCAAGGTGTGAGTGAAGCACAGTTTTGTAGAGGTGTATGATGTGTTCTCTTCTGCTTTCTTAACTGTTCTGCTTTTCCTAACCGTTAAGGTTCTTTTTGATTTTTAGTGATTATTGATTGAGGTTTCAAGATGGCATCTTTCTGCTTCCAAGACCTTTCAAAATAAAAAGAGCTAATGTAAAGCCTGCCATTACGTATATCCAGATTAGATTACTTTCCTGTTGCATTTCTTTGCACACAGAATTCATCTGTCAGCACAGAATTTCATCTGTGATATTTTTAACAAGTAATTTAGTTTTCTGAAGTTCCTTAATAACATTTCGACCAACCTTAGATTTGCCTATCATCGCAGATAATTTTTTTTTCAACTGCAAACTTTATCAGCTTGCTATTTTGCTCCTTATTCAGATTATTTATGAATTTCCTGGACAGTAAAACTCCTTGAGGGAACCA